GAGAGAGAGAGAGAGAGAGAGAGAGATAGTGGCGCCCTCCAACCACCCGTCCTTTTGTAATTAATTCAAACACACTCTTTCTTTTTGCCTTACTTCCACAGGCACGAGTCAGACATTCGAGCAGGAGCTGAGCTGGACGGTAGACAACTCCATCCTCGTCCCCCCGGGCTACGAGACGAAGGCCGAACTGGTCATCAAGGAGAACGACTACAACGGAGACTTCGAGGAACTGGTCACGTTCGAAGGACGCGTCATGGTGACGTATGAACACAAAAAGACACGAGAGCACATAACCACCATCTCAGAGAACGTCCGGAAACTTTTCGACTCCCGGCTCGGATTTAAGAAAGACGAGCTAGGTCGGCCGACGTTTAGGGTAAAGGGTACATGCAAGTGTCGCTTTGGTATGGAGCAGGATGTGAAACTAACAGAGACTCCAATGGCCGACCCGGAACCGGAAGACGTCCCGGATACCGTACAGTAGTGTAGAGGAGAAGGAGAGAAGCCTCCGTCTGTGATAGATAGAGATGTTGCTTCCTGATTCCCACAACGTCATCAACAGTGGTACTGTGTCGTTCTTCGATACATGTGAGCAAGGGGCTTTCATTATAACAGTGGACAAAATTTTCAGGATTTCGCAAGCTGTGCCTATTTATGTGGTTTCTATTGCAATTGCAGAGTTGTGTTTGTTTCATTAAGAATTTGACGGCATTTGCAAATTGCAACTCAGTAAGGTCATATTATAAGTGCTGAAGGTTAGAAGTGTTTCAAAAGAATAAGAGACACAAAAAAGGGAGGGGAGATAAGGACGATGAATTATATATTTCATTTTAGGGAAGAAGATGGAAAACCACACCAGAGCACCCGCCAGCCAACCACCCACGGTTGGGTTATACCAAACTTTCAAAAGACCACTGGATAAGACAACCAAAACAATTTTCTTTATATATATAATTGACTCATAGCTATAAATTGTTATCTTAACATTCGGATTCTTAAAGTTAAAGTGAGAGTAGAAAATGCTTTACAAAAACAAATTCATTCGCTATGTCAGAGAGAAGTTTCGATTAAATTACATAACATTTTTCTTCTCAAGTGCACACAGATACCACCGAAAACTATGAGCCATATGATGGATAACACTGGCAGTTTTAAGACGAAAAAAAAAAGAAGCGAAATGCCATTTAAAATGCATTCCACCGAATGGCCTTAAGTAACAATTCATGGTCTGTGATACTCTGAGAAGTAAACTGTGGGTCGAGGTGTAGAGGCAGGGGAAGTCAATGAAGCATTTTCTGAGAGGCAGGTAAGTACAGTAGCTTTCAAACCAGCAGGGTTACTGTTATGAAGACAGTGTGATGACCCTAGTGCTGCCAATGTCTAGAAGTCTAGAATGTGATGTGAAGACTTCACTATAATGCGAGCATAAAAAAGTCCTTTTCCCCCTGATTTACCTCAGCCGTATTTTCGAGTTCAAGGTGCTATATAGTATAATTTCTGTTCGTTTATACAAAACAGTTCATTGCCTTGTGCGTGTACTTAGGAGCCTGGGCGGACTGGGTGTCTCGGATATTTTCTTTTCAACTGTTGCTGGGTGCACTGCTACTGCTAGATCGCAACTTCCTTCTGTGAGTACAGAGTGCAACAATGTAGCCCCCCCCCCCCCCTTTTACAGCCAGTTGCTAGTTATATTCTCTTTCTAAAGCAACGTTACTCAAGTATCAGGACAGGTTGTGTCCAAGATTTCGTACAATACTGTGCAAACCTCAGCGAAGTATGCACTATGATTAGACCTCCTATTAATGCAGCAAAAGTAGACAACAAAGAGCCGTGTCTGATAGCAATAGCATCCTTACACTTGTACAAATACATATATTGAGTCCCGCAACAGGATATTTTCCAGTTACCAGTCTGGTACATGTCTGTTTTGGTAAGCGCTTTACGGTACTTGCAATACAATTAGGTCATATATAAGTACCGAAGATCAGAGGTGTTACTAGAACGTAACAAACACATAAAAAGTAGGAGGAAAGATAAGAACGATTGATGCTTGAAAGCAAACCACACCAGAACACCAGCCAACCACCCATTGGTAAATGTCTAATCTCTTGTTCTGTTGTATGAGCCATCAAATTACATCGATGCTGAAGTCTAAAGTGTCAACATAATTGCCATACGAGTGCATTATATGTATTTTGAAAAGACAAGAGCTAGTAGATCCTATCTTATTCTTTGAATAATGTATTTCATCTTGAAACCACGCACATGTATAATATAAGCTTACCGCTTAAAACCTGAGATCTTTCCTTGTGTTATCAGAAACTTGTGAAGAATCAAACTGTGCTTTATGACTTTTTGTCACTTCAACCCAGTGGGTGAATAATGACATTCACAAAAATACAAGCCATCAACACAGTTTTATGATTGAAAGAGAGATAAGAAAGAGTTACAGGGCTCCAGGAAGGGGTGGCAAACGTACAAAAAGGCAAAGGACGTCTCAATCTTACCATTTTAGTAAAGGCTATGATAACTCTTGGATTTTTCCCAGACCTTTATGCTCTTAGTGAGGGCGTCTGAGGTCCATCCAGAGTCTAATAATTTCCTCAGCCATGTTATCACTTACTCGATTGTTTGGAGTAGCCAACAATATACATGTGTGCCCGAGCTTTTACTTAGCGTCTGCAACACAGGGTATCTTAAAAGGGGACACCAATGAAAGACCATCCATTTTCAGAGACAACTACCACAGTCTAGGGCTTCCAGGTTGTTAAAAGTCGTGTCATGAATAAGATTTTTTCTTTACATTGTATTAAAAGATATTATGCATGTTGTAATAAAAAGAATGTTTTGAGTACTCGAGGCAGAAGAGACTGTGAACGAACAAGAGAATGAAAGTTTCAGGAGTAGATCTGTATTGTCCATCTGTGTTTTAAAGACAGTGGTTGTGCAACTAAGAACTTGATTGTTTCTTGGGTTAATCCCTGCGTCCTGTGTTCTATGAGTTACAGTTTTGAGCATTCCTCAAAATGTATTTGATTCTAGAGAAAATCACTTTTTCATGTAGTCATTGACATTATACGCAGTTGGGTTCCTTAAATCTGTGTCAGTGCTTCAGGAAAAAGCACCAGTGAATCATTCGAAGGTGTCTCAATTGAAATAGACAAATAATGTAATGACATATTAGTTTAATATAAGACTGATCCGAAAGGCAGAATAATTGTGAAACTACACCAAGCTGAGGATGAATATTCCTAGGATGATAAGAACAAATGTGGAAAAACTCAGATCCAGATTTTGATCTTCAAATTTCTACTAAAGTTTGTGTCGAAGCACTCACAGGGTGAGGCCTAGATTCAGATTTGTGTTTAGGCAAAAATTTAGTCAGCCCTTCAGTTGACATTTTGCAAAATCATGAAGAGAGAGAAAACGAGAATTGACATACATGTCCATTGTTTGTACGTATTTACCTATATACCGATACCACATTGATTGGAAATTCAAAACATGTGATTGCATTGGTGGTTGTCTTCATAAATCATGTTGCTTAAGTTTTTATGCAGTAAACTTCCCTGCAATGTAGGTCTACATGATATTCAATTCCACTTGTTTCACGTTCTAATTATGATGCTTTTGCTAA